CTTTCTTACAAAACCCAAGTGAAAAAAACAAAACTAAATATAAAAAGTATAAAAATAAACTAAATCATATAATAAAAATGGCCAAAAAAATATATTATGAAGAACAGCTAGTAAAATATAAATATGATGCTCGAATGACATGGAAAACATTAAATGAAATCATGAATAGAAATAAAGTAAAAAAAGAACTACCAGAAGAATTTGTTGGGAATAACCCCTCTGAGTTAATTAAAGATCCTCTTAATATAGCCAACAAATTCAATGAATATTTTGTGAATGTTGGACCAGAACTGGCCAAAAAGATTACCGAAAATGATGGTCAAAAAACATTTGAGCACTATCTCACTAGTAATTTGTACAAAGATAGCATGTTTCTTGAAACAATTACCAAAAATGAAATAGAATTAGAAATATCTAATATGAATCAAAATAAAAGTCCTGGATATGATAATATTAGTTCGAAATTTTTAAAATTAACTGCCAGCAATATTTCTGAGCCTCTTGCTCATATATTTAATTTGACTTTCCTAAGTGGTATTATCCCTGATAAGCTAAAGATAGCATTAGTTACACCTATTTTTAAAGCTAATGAAAAAAATAAATTTAACAATTACAGACCTATATCTGTTCTTTCATGTTTTTCAAAATTATTAGAAAAACTCATGTACAGAAGATTAATCAACTTCATAGAAAAAAAACAAGATATTATCAAAACATCAATATGGGTTTAGACAAAACAGATCAACAGATTTTGCAATTATTGAACTTTTAGATAAAATTACTAGAGCAATAGATAAAGGAGAATACACTATTGGTATATTTTTAGATTTGTCCAAGGCTTTTGACACAATTAATCACAGGATTCTGATTAAAAAATTAGAATATTATGGCATGAGAGGAATATCTCAACAATGGTTTCAAGATTATTTAAAAATAGAAAACAAATTGTAAAATACAATCAGGCGAGATCAAAAGAAATGACAATCACAAGTGGAGTCCCCCAGGGTTCCATTCTGGGACCACTGTTGTTCCTTTTGTATATAAACGATATACAGCATTGCAGTAAAATAGTTTCATTTATATTATTTGCGGATGACACAACGATATCTCATAGTAACAAATGTCTTAAAACATTAAATGAAATTATGCAAGTAGAAACGGCAGGTACAAAATGCAGGTTGCAGGTTGGAATTTTGCAGGTTGCGAATTTTGCAGGTTGGAATTTTGCAGGTTGGGGATTTTGCAGGTTGGAATTTTGCAGGTTGCCAGGAACTTTGCAGGTTAATAATGCGAGCTTAAAATTACACCACGTACTTTTTTAGTATTCTAGTATAATTTAGTTGTGCATTTATTGCAGTCTGACTCCTTGTCGGCGCCTCTGCTCTAAGGCTAGTGGCCATCACCCCCGTGAAAACATTCAAAATGACCAGATTGGCTTGGACCTACAGGGAGACGAATGCAGGGGTGTAGGAACAGGGGGGGCAGGCCCCTAAGTTTTGCCAAGTGCCCTTTTTCCGGGAGCAAAGTGCCCTTTTTTGTGTTAAAAATGTTTTAAGGATTGCCTATTTTTGCCCAAAGCGCACTTTTCGAAACTTGAATTTATGTTATTTTCCGGAATATTTTTTTCATTTTGGGAAAAAATATGATGTGCGAAAAATTTTTTTGTGTTTCTGGAAAATTTTTTTCATATTTAGGAAAATTGGATATATCTGGAAATATTTTTTTGGTATGTCCGGAAAAAAATTTTGAGACCTCCCCCCTTCCCACCCCCGTCGCCAACATTTCCGGGAAAAAATTTTTAGATGCCCTTTTTTATTCGGAAAGTGCCCCTCAAAGCCTGCCCCCCCCAACTTTTAGAAGCTTCCTACGCCCCTGGACAAATGTTTTGATTGTTGCGAGGTGCCTACATAATGTGGCAGCGTTTATACTAGAATGTTGTTAAAAGTTAACTAACTCTCGAGTAATGATACGGTAATTGGGGGCTTGAGTGGTCTCATAAGTGGGTGCAGAGGAGAGACACCTCATTCAGGCATTTTCTGAACTGCCACCACGTCATGTAGACTCCTCGCAACAATCGAAACATTCGTCCCCCTGAAAACCCAAGCCAATCTGGTCATTTTGAATGTTTTCACAAGGGTGATGAGCAGAGGCTAGAAACATGGTAGCAGGATAGGCTGATATCAAAAGCAGCGACAAGGAGTCAGACTGCAATAAGTACAAAATAAAATTATACTAGAATACTTTATAGTAGTGTAATTTTCAGTTTGCATCATCAACCTGCAAAATTCCTGTCAACCTGCAAAATTCCAACCTGCAAAATCCCCAACCTGCAAAATCCCCAACCTGCAAAATTCCAACCTGCAAAATTCCCAACCTGCAAAATTCCAACCTGCAACCTGCAACCTGCGTTTTGTACCTGCCGCAAGTAGAAATTAATAAAGTAGCTGAATGGTTAAATATAAATAAATTATCTATAAATACTTCAAAAACAAAGTTTATTCTATTTAGATCTTATAACAAAAAACAGAATTTTGATGTAATAATAGAAATAAACAAAGAAAAATTAAAACAGGTAAAAAAACCACATTCCTTGGTATTGTTATTAATGAATGCTTGACATGGAATGAACACATGGATTTAATAGCAAAAAAAGTTATTTTTGCTATTACTCCAGCAGATTTAATAAGACATTTTACAAATTTAAATGCTCTTAAGCTTATTTACTATGCTTTAGTCTATCCATATCTTATCTATGGAAATATAATCTGGGGTAATACCTACAAAAAAAGAATCCAAAAACTTATGAATGTTCAAAAAAAAATTGTGCGCCTTATGACTTTCAACTCTTATTTGGCACATAGCGAACCAATCTTTAAAGACTTAAAAATTCTAGATATTTATAAAATTAATGATTATTTAATACGTTTATTTATGTTTCGATATCACTACACCAAAAATCTACCAGAGGTATTCACTGATTACTTTGTGACCAATGATCAAATCCACCAACACAATACAAGAAATAAAACACAACTCCACAAGTCATACAAAAGAACGAACTATGTAAAACATACTCTTTCAAATAAAGGAGTCGATGTTTGGAATGGACTTGAATGTCATTTTAAAAATATAACTTCTCGTAATACTTTTAAAAATACTATAAAAGAACACTTCCTTCAAATTTCAAGTAGTTAATCAAATTATATGTACAATGTAACACTTTATGCTGTAAATAGCTTTCACATTTTCTCTCTTTCTTTTCTTTTAACTATAATACTTATTGTAATATATTTTAAATTTGGTTGACTGTATAGTCTGTAGTTAGAACTAGAATCTAAATTTTATATCTATAGGGGTCTTAAATAAAAGCCTGTTAAGGTTTCTGGTAGGCCCCTACCATAATAATAATAATAATAATAAACTATATTTTTACAGGTTAACTTGGTCAGCTATATTAAGCTGCTATAAAGCAAGGACCTGTGTTTACGATAAAATTTAAATAGATAAAAAGTGTAAAGCTTCATATTTACAAAATGTTTCGAATAGTTATTGAGAATAGTGTTCAATAAAAAGTGAGATGTCTCTAATTTACGAAGCGTTTCTAACTTTCTAACAGTTAAAAATAATGTTACATTGTTCTTTAAATCTCAGTAATGAAGTTTCTTTTGTTAGACTGTCTGGTAGTTTGTTGTATTGAACTGCTCCTTGGAATGCAAATTCTGTGCAGTTTCAGTTCTAACTTTTGGCAATAGCAGTTTGTTGTTATCTCCACGGGTGCCTTTTCCATGGGAGTACCTTTGGAAGTAGCCATCATAGCATTGAGGTGCCAAGCCATTTAAACATTTAAACACTTCTATTACACAAGCTCTATTTCGGATTTTTTCCAACTTTGTCCAATTATTTTGGATGTTGTTGCCATAAGCAATTTTGAAAGCTCGTTCTTGTACTTTCTGGAATTTTTCGATCGAGCTGACTGTGTCACCAAGAAATAGATTATTACAGAATAAAAGGATTGGCTCTATCATCGTTTTGTAGATTGACTGCGCAACCAATGGGCTGATGTCACGTCGTATGCGTGATAGGAGTTTAACTCTTCTCATAGCTTCTTTATATATCTTGTCTTTGTGCTTTGTGCTCAACATAGGTTAAGGATTTATCCATTTTAACTCCGAGGTATTGATACGCTTGTACTTCGTTCACCGGTTCGTTTCGAATCATAATATCCATTTTCTCGGCTTTTGACAATTTGTTAGGTGTACCGTACAGGATGAATTCGGTTTTTCCTTTTTTGAGGTTGACGACCAGGTTGTTTTCATAAAACCAGGTGGCCAGTTTTGATAGATCCGAGTTTAAATTTACTTTAATGGTTTCTTGATTTTTACTGGATGTAAAGACCACTGTGTCGTCAGCATATAGTAGGATTTTACAGCTATTCAATTGGTGATCGATGTCATTAATCAACAAGATGAACAGCATAGGCCCTAAGATGGAACCCTGTGGCACACCACAGACGACAGGTTGGCTGTCAGATTGTGTGCCATCGTAGATTACATGTTGACGCCTTCCAAATAAATAGTTCTCAAACCATGTTAGTTCTTTATCTTTAATACCGTAGTGAGATAATTTGGACAGTAAACGACCATGATCCACCGTGTCGAATGCTTTCTTCAGATCGATAAAGACAGCGCCACAGTATTCACCTTTGTCCATACAATCCCTTATATGGTCCGAGAAATAGGTAACTGCCTGTTGAGTCGATCGACCTTTACGAAATCCAAATTGGTTAGGGGAAAGCAGACAGTTTTCTTCCAGATAGATAGATAGCTGTCTGTGAACAACACGTTCAATAATCTTTGCTAATACAGGCAAGACGGAAATTGGTCTATAGTTATCCATTGATGATCAGTCTCCTGACTTAAAAATTGGTGTAACATTTGCCAATTTCTCTACATCTGGGAAAATTGACTGTCGTAAGCATAAGTTTATCAAAAGCACAAGTGGGGTGGATAATTCTTGGGCACCGTCTTTAATAAAGGATATCGGGATATTATCATATCCTGGGGCTGTGGATGATCTCAACGTTTTTATAATAGACAGTAATATCCCTTTCAGTCACTTCCTTAAATTTAAAAACGCAATGATGTGGGTTTATGAGATCTTGCAATTTTTGATAGCTGTGGAATTGCCAATGTTTCTCTGTTAATGTGACTTAGCATTGTTGAATGGATGTACCAATTCCAGTAAGAAAGTTGCAAAAAGCACTAGCGATCAGATAGCTATCGGATATGAGTTTTCCTTCAACGTCAAACAGCTTGTTTGGGGTTTCCCCCTTATTTCGTGTTGGGTAGCATTTCTTTATTTGATCCCAGAACTGTTTTGGTCTGTTAACGTTCTCACGAAAGACTGAGCGATTATAATTTGCTTTATGCTGGCGAATACATTTTGTGACACTATTTCGTGCTTTGCGATAATTACACCAGTCACATTCTTTCCCACTCTTTCTGGCTTTTTTCAACAAGTGATCTCGCTCATTCATTTTCTCTTTTATTTCATGGGTTAACCAAGGGCAATCACGGCCTTTTACTTTCTTTTCTATCAAAGGGGCATGTCGATTTATTATAGTCGTCAAGGTTTGTTTGAATAAGTCCCAGCTAGCTTGAACGTCATTTTCATTAATTAGGGTTTCCCATGGGATTTTGCGCAAGTCAGATTTAAATTGACTAACATTATAATTGGCCCTAGATCTTATGTTTATCTTTCGTGGTTTGAATTTAAGACAATTCATTTTTCTTGTTATGCCGGTGAGATCATGGTCACTGATGGAATTTGCGATTACTATGTGCTCAGGAATCCTGCTTTCATGCGTGGTGCATATAATATCAATTAAGGATCTTGATCTCGGTGTAATTCGCGTGGGTTTTTTGATAATTTGTTTAAAACCATGAAGTTGGAGGATACGCTTTATTGATTTGTGGTCTCCATTGTTTAGATAATTGCAGTTTAAGTCCCCAATGACAATAGTTTCTTTTCTTTCTTCAGTTGCTAAGCTATTTATCTCTTCAAAGTTATTCTCAAAATTTGCATCGAGGTATTTTGACGAGTCAGGAGGACGATAGATTATACATAACAAGGTGGAGTTGGAATTTTGAAAAAATATTTCGATCCATAACGCCTCGACTGATTGTTTCTCTAAGTCTGATCTCCTTTTCCACTTAATATCATCTCTAATATAGCAACCAACCCCACCACCACAACCATTCTTTCGATCTTTCCTGATAAAATTATAACCGCTAATAGCGACCTCACTATCTTGTATGTTTTTGTTCAGATGCGATTCAGTAATGCTGAAAATATGTATACGTTTACTTGTTTCCTGGAGCATTAGCCGCAGTTTTTAGTGCAGAGTTTCTTTGAAACTGTGCACTATTGTGATGAGTGGCGAAAATTCACATCTGTCATACATCAGATATCATAGAGTAAACTTTCCGGGGGGTGTATACGATTTATCGTCGTGGTGATTTATTCTACTTAGTCAGTGCTTTGAAGGTTATTTAGGCAATTTCAGTTGTCTTATTTAAATACTTATTTTGTCCTTTTGCCAAGTTCACAAAAATTTCCAGGAATTGTTGTTATTGCAAATTTTTGTCAATTTTATAACATTTGCTTCTCCGTGTTGTGTGAAAGATCTTTCCCCCGGAACACCCATTTTTTCTTTAGCAGCGCAAATGCGCATGTGCTATCAAGCTGTAGATCACGATGGCGTGACGAATGACGATGCTAGGAAGGAGCGACACTGCCGAACAGTGTTGTTTTCAAATTATAAACATTTTTATAGACGTGAATATCGAGTAAATCTTTGAGAATCTACGCAATATATAAATTGATGTTATGACTTATGCATTGTGGGCATTCAATTAAGTACCGATATTATTTTGACGGTATATTCAATTTCAATATATAAAGCTAGGAAGCAGCGAGACAGTGTTGTTTTGTCTTTTGAAATGTATGAACATTTCAGGCATGAATATTGAGAAAATCTTTGAGATTCTACGCAATATATAAATTGATTTTTTGCATTACGGTCATTCTATTAAGTGCCGACGGTATATTCATTATACAGAGCTAGGAAGCAGCGAGACCGTGTTTTCAAATGTATAAACATTTCAGACATAAATATTGAGAAAATCTTTGTTTACGTGTATAGCACAACGGTGCAAACTCGTGTTCAGTGCAACGAAAACTCTACCAGATCTTACGAGAATCTATCTGTATCAAAGCTTGTCAAAACTGCTATATAAACACTGCAATAACTGTGAAACTATTGAAATCTAAAGTTACATCATGAATACATGCGAAAAGCTGAAAATGACTCGTGAAACAACGTGACCTTCGAAATATATCAAAGGTCAATGAGACTTGTTATTGTGAACACGTCATAATTAGATTAAAATGCGGAAAGCGGATGCGGATTCACGGAACGGATATGGGGATAAAATGCGGATGAAATGCGTCATTTTAATGAGTTTTTCCCCTCTTATTTACGTTTCTGTGTTTTAGATTTATGTTCCTTTTTTGTAATGGAATACAACGTCGTAGTGCTTATTATTTATAACATATCTTATACAGCTATTTTCTCAAGTTGTCACTGAGACAAAAGCCAAAGTGTACAATATGGGCGCTAAAAGGATGGTGGGAATAATCACAGATTTAAACAAGTCACCTAGGTTGCCGGCGACCTATATAGTGTCGTTTTCAATTGGAAACTTTACAACATTATAACAGAAATTATGCCTTGTGACTAATATTATATGAGGAAATAAATAATATTACATAACTCTCGTCATTCTTTAATCTTAAAGTATTAGATTTAAACCAGATCTTAGCATTTTTACTGTTGTAACAGTCACGCGCGCTACTACTTTACGTCATATCGACATGTGATTAAAGCTATAAACCACGCTTGAAAAACTATTCAATTAATAAGTATGTCAATATAGCGTTCGTCTTTGAAACTCTGCACTATCCTTGGATCCCTAGTTTGAATAACTGGAGTGTTAGTGTTGTGCTTTACTATGTAGCCGCTCACCCTCCAGCTGTTCAAAAGCGGCATTGACACTCAAGAGAAGCTCAGATTGAACCTCGGACAGTTTACAAACTATTTGAAGATGATTAATAATTCACTTTAGTTTGATTTAACAAGATTCTATTTGATTTAACCTATTTGATTTGCATGGTAACTGACTGAATTAGTGATTAAGTGTTGACAAATGTGCATGACGTAATAGTATCCAGAGAGTATCGAAGGCAAGTATCGTATTGAGATATTGAGACAGTGTGCGAGAGCGTATA